TGCCCAGGCGGGTCTCGGACCCGCAGGCTCAGGCAATCCACTCTCCTCAGCCTCCCAAAGGCGCGGGATTACGGGTTGAGCCACCGAGTCCGGCTGGAGGTTATTTTTGTAGATTAGATCCCAATTGAAATTTTATGCTACCCACCTAAAGGAAAGGAATATAACTATCCCACCACTCTCTCACCAACCGCCTCAGCAGGAAGAACTCACTAGCAGTAAAGGGACACTCAGAAAAACAGAACTCTGCAGACCTATGCAAATAGAAAGGTAAACTATTTCCTGGTAATGAGAAGGTATCTTGTAGATTCAGTTTCGAGAGGAAGAGTTGTTATTTACATATTTACATATCTAAACGTCAAAGAATTCCAGTTGTAAAGAGATCAAGAATCCTCTGCAATTAGTAACTAAGGTCCTGCTACAAGAAAGAGCTTATTGCAGGAGAGCCAGTGAGACCCCCAAAGCATGGGGTTCAAAATGAACCTAAGTAGTACCTGTTTGAAGAAGCAAAAAATATCTAAGGAACAAGAAAGGGGGCCATTTTTTTCCTCAGGGTGTCAACACTTCTTGTTAAATGGGAATAATAAACTAATACAGGAACACTATTTTATTCTTAACTATTTTAAATTTGTGTTGCATATATATCTGAAGTAGTAGTATGTTAATTGACAATTATAATCCAGGTATGAGGGCTGGAGTGTCAAGGTCGTGTAAGCAGTGCCTCTTATGAAATAATATCATAATGATGTTTACTTCTTTATGGGTGTTATAAACATGGCAAACATATCAACAATTTAATGTTTATTCATGGGGCGATTTCCATATATGTGAAAAGATAGAGTTAGAGTAAGTGAACTTTATTTGCGGCTTATACCAGGTCTAACAGTGTATTATTCTAAGCACAAAATTATTTTACAATTTTTATTGGAACATTATCATTTTCTTTTCTTTTCTTTTTTTTTTGAGTTGGAGTCTCACTTCATTGCCCAGGCTGGAGTGCAGTAGCATGCTCACAGCCACCCCAGCATCGACTTGCTGGGTTCCAGAGATCCTTCTGCCTCAGCCTTCCAAGTAGTGGGAACTACAGGCGTGCACTACCACACCCAGCTAATTTTTTTTTTTTTTTTTTTTAACTAATTGTAGAGACAAGGTCTCACCATGTTGCCCAGGCTATTCTCGAACCTGCAGACTCAGGCAATCCTCTCGCCTCAACCTCCCAAAGTACTGGGATTACAGGCTTGAGGTACCACGCCCGGCCCACATTATCATTCTCATTCTAGAGTATATATGTAGTCTTTGGTAATGTGGTGGTAAGAATTAGGGTGGATATTGGTTTGTTTGCCTTTGTTTTTCTAAGAATTTCATGTGCTTATCCTCTTAGATGCACTCAGCACTCTTCTGTGAAGTAGATAAAGGTAGGATCTGTAATAAACTGATCATATAAGAATAAGAATAATAGCCAAACATTAACTCCTTGGTTCTTCTGCCAAAAATGCTTTTTACATCTTACGCTAACATGATGACTCAACCAATTCTAGCCTGTGCAACCAGAACTTACTTATTAAACACAAGAGCCTGTGCTAAGGGGCCACAATTGCTTTAGGAGTTGAGTAGGGTAGCATCTTAAAACCCATTAGTCTGAAGATTTCATTTTTTTTACCAAGTGCAGACTCAATATTGAAGTGGTAAAAAAAATATTCTCCTCAAACAAAAATTGAGAGTCTTTTACAATAACTGTTGTGCACAAAACACACACAGAGAATGGGATCATCAAATCTGTTCCCATCCGGCACTTATTCCTTCTTGCACAAAATACATGCCATGTAGGATATAAGGATACAGGTTACCATAATGTAAAGAATATTATGTTTGTTAATCTACATTTGCCATTTGCTAGCTGGCAATCATTGGGTAAATTACTGAGACTCAATTTCCTTATCTGTAAAAATGGAATTTTGTTATGAAGTTAAATGAGACTCAATATATAAATGTCCTAGCAAAGTACCTGCCATTAAGAAGATAATTCAGAGTGGTTCCTCAGCGTTTGCCCTGGCGGCCACCGCGTCCCTCTCGGCCTCCTAACCCTCCTCCACGGCCACTCCGCCTCTTCCCTCCCTTCGTCCCTTCCTCCTCTCCCCTCTTCCTTTCTCCTTCCCCGCCTCGCCGCTGCCGCCCAGGACCACAGGCTGGGGGACGTGCTGAGGCAGCAGCCAGGAGTTCCTTCACCACATAACCTCGCAGAACCGAAGAAAACCATCATTTCTGAAACGCCCTTTTAAAGAAAGCGTAACCCTTACCGTAGAACTAAATGCGCTGTGCATGAAACTTGGAAAAAAACCCAATGTATAAGCCTGTTGGCCCTTGCTCTCAGATGTAGTCCACCTACAATTACAACAAGAGAGGAGGTGCTTACCCGCCCCCCCCCCCAGGTACTTTTATCCATTTCCAGTTCCACCTTTGCTTTATCAAGTTGAAGTTTCTGTGGGAGGACTGCAATTGAACGAGAAAGGCAAGACTAGACAGGCCGCGAAACAGAACGCTGCTGTGAAAGTCCTGAGAATCCTGCAGAATGAGCCCCCACCGGAGAGGCTGGAGGTGAATGGAAGAGAATCAGAAGAAGAAAATCTCAATAAATCGGAAATAAATCAAGTGCTCGAGATTGCACTTACATGCAACTTACCTGTGGATTTTGAGGTGGCCCGGCAGAGTGGCCTACCCCACATGAAGAACTTCATGACCCAGGTTTCCAGTGGGGAGTTTGTGGGGGAAGATGAAGGGAAGAGCAAGATTTCCAAGAAGAACGTGGCAATAGCTGTCCTTGAGGCGCTGAAGAAGCTGCCACCCTTGCCTGCAGTTGAGCGGATGAAGCCCAGAATCAAAAAGAAAACAAAACCCATAGTCAAGCCACAGATAAGCCCAGAGTGCAGCCAGGGGATCAACTCGATCAGCAGACTGGCCCAGATCCAGCAGGCGAAGAAGGAGAAGGAACCAGAGTACCTGCTCCTCACAGACTGAGGCCTCCCACGCCGCGGGGAGTTCGTGATGCAGGTGAAGGTTGGAAACCACACTGCAGAAGGAGCGGGCACCAAGAAGGTGGCCAAGCGCAACGCGGCCGAGAACATGCTGGAGATCCTTGGCTTCAAAGTCCCGCAGGCACAGCCTGCCAAACCAGCGCTCAAGTCAGAGGAAAAGACACCCATAAAGACACCTGGGGATGATAGAAAAGTAACCTTTTTTGAACCTGGCTCTGGGGATGAAAATGGGACTAGAGCCGGGCTCGGTGGCTCAGCCTGTAATCTTGCGCCTTTGGGAGGCTGAGGTGAGTGGATTGCCTGAGGCCGCGGGTTCGTGACCCGCCTGGGCAGCGAGACCTCATCTCTACAATAAATAAAAAAAAAAATCAGCCGAGCATGGTAGCGCATGCCTGTAATTCCGGCTACTCGGAAGGCTGAGGCGGAAGGATCCCCAGAGCCCAGCAGGTCGAGGCTGCGGTGGCCGGGAGCGGCCACTGCACTCCAGTCTGGGCGACAGAGTGAGACTCCAGCTCAAAGAAGAAGAAGAAAAAAAGCAAAGAAAAAAGAAAATGGGGCTAGTAAGAGAGAGGATGAGTCCAGGATGCCTTATCTAAGTCATCAGCAGCTGCCTGCTGTAATTCTTCCAATGGTGCCCGAGGTCGCCCAGGCTATAGGAGTCAGTCAAGGACGTCACACCAAAGATTTCACCCGGGCAGCTCCGAATCCTGCCAAGGCCACGGTAACTGCCATGATAACCAGAGAGTTGTTGTATAGGGGCACCTCGCCCACAGCCGAGACCATTTTAAAGAATAACATCTCTTCAGGCCACGTACCCCATGGACCTCTCACGAGACCCTCTGAGCAACTGGACTATCTTACCAGAGTCCAGGGGTTCCAGGTTGAATACAAAGACTTCCCCCCAAACAACAAGAATGAATTTGTATCCCTTATCAATTGCTCCTCTCAGTCACCTCTGATCAGCCACGGCATCGGCCAGGATCTTCAGTCCTGCCATGACATGGCTGCTCTGAACATTTTAAAGTTGCTGTCTGAGTTGGACCAACAAAGGACAGAGATGCCAAGAACAGGAAACGGACCAATGTCTGTGTGTGGGAGGTGCTGAACCTTTTCTGGCCATGAACCATTATAAAATCCCAAAATATATACTGAAAATACTGAAACTGCTTTGAAAATTTGGAATCTCTGATACCTCCAGTGAGCCGAGACACAGTGGGTGAAGAACGTGGGCAGTGGTGGTGAAGACGATGGAGACATGAGGAGGTGACTGTGGCCGGGCTGGACCATGCTGGGGTTTGTCGTGACAGCCACTCGTGAGCCAGCGGTCCCCACACAGAAGCAACTGCCCATGGGGAAGGAAGAGCCTGCCCAGCAGGCTGGCTCCTTCAGAAAACCAGCAGATTGTGCCCTGGGCTCCACAGTGCTTGGTCTTGTTCTTTTTTTTTTTTTCTATGTGAGAGAAGAAACAGAAAGCATGACCTCTTCTGAAACTGGCTCACTCCAACGCTTTGGGACAAACCCTGGACAGCCACGCTGGAGAGAGGCCTTACATCGGCCCCAGGGCTAAAAGCACCAGAGAAAATCGGATGCTTCCTACTTGGCGCAACCGAACTTTCCTAGCGTGCTGTGGCCCTACGTCTCCTGTGGTTCCACACCATAACCACTGTTTCCCTCCAACAGTAATATGTATTCTTAGTTTCATTCTTTTCTTTTGATTGATATGACACTATATAAAATCTTCATTTGAGAGTTTCTCAATTGTATCTAGTTATATAGCACAGTTTGGAAACTTGTCTGCGACTGACTTTATCAGTGATCTAACAGGCAAAGATCATATCCATGTGTATGTGGTTATATGTTTTATTTCATTGGACTAACCCAGGACCGTTTCAGTGATGCAAATTGTGTGCCTCTGGTTCGGCTGAAACAGTCCTGGACTTCTCAGAAACTTTGATGAAGTCTCCCATAGTTGTATAAATTGGACACTTTAGGCATTTTAAACTTTAATGGTCATTTGGTTCCTTTTCTATTTTATTTCTATTTTTGTGAATACAAACAGGACTTCAAACAAATGAACTTTGATCTTCGTTTTCAAAATTATGAAAAATTTGTGTCTATACATATGGCTCCTGAGGATGGAGCTTTCCCTACACTACAGGATATGATCTCCGTGTCATCCATATAAACCTGCAGATTGATTTTCCTTGAGTGCTTGATACTGTTAATTACATCTCCACGTAGGGCTGGAAAGAATGACCTATGTTTCTATATACAGCTGTGTTGCTTTGATGTTCTGCTATCGTTCACAGAGATGTGTGCACTAAGGTTCTGCCAACGGTTCAGATGAGAAGCCTGGTAGCCTTGCAAGTTAAGTACTGCTTCCATTCATTTGTTTACTGGAATTTTTCTCACCATGAAATGTAAGTAAAACTTAGTGTTTGTCACCAATAAATGGTAATACTAAAAAAAATTTAGAAAGATGATATTCAATAAATAGCCTTTGTTACCATTATTTTAGAATATTACCAGCTTAAATATACCATCATGATGGTCTGCCAGGAGCTTCTAATCTCTCTGACTGTATATGTGATGTGTACACATGTGAGCCTGCCTGCTCATGTGTACATGTGTATGCTTAAGGAGAAGTCCATTTTAAATGCAAAGATTTTAACATGTCCTTCAAAGAAATCACATTGTCTGTGTTAAGATCGAAAACAAGACGGCAAATTAAAACACTGGAACATGGCAGGAAAGCAGTTTTCGGTCTCTCGATGAGGATCCGAATTGACACCCCGGCTTACAACTTTAAAGAGCCATCTCAGAAAGATATAATGTACACAGTGAAATACTGGTTGGCTTCATAAAATCCATCATTTCCTTCTATCTTTGATAATTACATTAAATATAAACTAACTAGGTAAGGCATTATAATTTCTTATTCTTTACTGCCCCCTGGAGTCAAACATGACTACAACATTAAATTGGCCTTCTGAAATAACAATGAGGTTTTTTTCACGGGTGGGAAAGTATAACAACATTCTACAGTATTTTACTCTTTGGTCAAAGATACATATAGATAATCTACATATCTTATATGTACTGACTACAATAAATAGGGGCCAGCATTAATGATATAACAAAATGAGGGAAAATTCTAAACTCCAGAGTATTATCATTTTAAAACTTTTTGAAATGGTTTCTTAAATTGTGCACAAACCTTTCAAGCTGTAGTCACACTGGTGTAAAATAATGGTGCAACATTTAACTTAGACAAAAAAAGAGATGTGGAATATCTTTAACCAAATTCAAAAAAATAAATCATGATATGGAAATCACTTGACAATAAACAAGGTCCACTGCACAAAGTTGAAATTAAGCAAATAAAATAAAATGAAATAAAAAGAATGCAAATTATAAGCAATTACAGCTAACAGGCAAAATCAACTTCATATGAGCAAGGCTTCAATAATTATTTTAGGTCAGAAAATAAAATCAACTACTATATAAAAAGACATTCATTTGAAAAGCCTGTCTTTGAAATATCTCCTTAACAGCATCTCAATTATGTCCTCAGTGTTAATCACTGAGTTCAAAACTCTTCTGAGACTTCTAACATTTCACTCTCTTTAATGTTTCCTTCCTATTCACAAGGGTTCTCAAATAAATTGATTGAAATTATATTTAGATAAGATGAATGTACAATAACTAATCGTAATCATTATTATACTAAGGAAAGCGTCTTGTCTGTATTAACTTTCTTTAAATGAGTCTGTCAGAATACTCATTAGAGCAAGAACTCATTTTGAGTCAATTCTTATGAATCAAGTATTAAGAAAATCAGAGTCCTGTAAATATCTTTTAAGGTTCTCTACTTCATCGTTAGCAGTGCATAATATTGGATGATGAGAAACTTTTTAAATCAAATAACTCGTATTTAACTCAATTTTATTGCTTTCTTTAAATCTGCATTCCTCTACAATCCATAATGAAAATGTACCAAGAGGTCTAACAAATATTTTGCTAGTCACTAGGCACACAGAAATGAGGTACAGACACTGTCCCCAAGGAGATAATTACAAATATATAAAAACATACTAGAAAAATGTGTTTAATTTTTTTCCCCACTTTCCTCCCCTGCCAGAAACAGAGTACAGTATAGTCAGTGACAGAACTATTAATATATATAATAACGTAAAGAAATAGTTTAAAGGAAAGAGATAACACTACTTTTGTCAACGTGAGATTTCATAGAAAATACCTGACTTTGGACTGGAGTAGAGGCCTCTGTGACTGGGTGAAGACAACTTCTGACCTTGGAGTATTAAGAAAATAATAAATGACTGAGAAACTAACAACGACAACACTTTCCCTTTAAAGGGAACTAAAATATAAAACACAGGGAAACATATATTACTAAGAACATTGAACAAAATCAACCATCCAAATAAAAATTTACTCCAGATGTAATTAGTTGTATAACATAGATCGTCCAGTGGCCTTCATATTAAATCCAACGCAATGCCTGTTTTGAAAATAAAGTTTTATCGGGACACAACAATGCCCTTTCAAGTATGTATTGTCTCTGGCTGCTTTTGCACTACAGGGTAGAGTTCAGTAGTTGTAAAAGAGACTATATGCCCTAAAAACCTAAAATATTTACTATCTGGATTGTTACAGAAAAAGTTTGCCAATTCTTGCATTAGAGGAAGATTTTAAAACAAGTATTCGTAAAGTGCTGAAAAAGATAAATAAAGCAATCACATCCATTACAAAAGAAATCATGAACAATTGGAGAAATGAAACAAGAGTAGATGGATATGAAAAACAAAACATTAAAAGCCTTATAAACTAAATAGAAAAATAGGCAAAGAATAAGAACAGAAAGCACAGCAATTCAACTTCTACATGTGTACCTTACAGAAACCCACACATGTACTGAGGAAACTTGTACATAATTTATAGCAGCAGTTTTTAGTAATAAAACATTAGAAACAAATTTTGTCTCCATTAGTTCTATCTAAAATAAGCCTGCAAACCGATCCACCCCAAAATTCAGTGGCTTTAAAACAATTATCATATATTCTTGCTCACATATCTGTGGGTTGCCTACAGAGGCTCTAATAATCTCAGTTGGGCAGAGCTGGTTTTAGTTAAGGCTACAAATTTGACTCTGATTTATTCCACGTGCCTCTCATTCTTCTTGGACAAGTGGGTTAGATGGGCCTCTCCCCCCTCACAATAATAGCAGAAGTGTAAAAGAGCAGGCCCAAATGTGGAAAACATTTCAAGCCCCCTCTTGTCTCATGCTCCAAAACATTTCTTTTGCCAAAAGAAGTCCTATGGTCAAGCCTAACAGATGGGAAAAAATTAAATAGATAGGAAAAATATTATGCCTCTAATTAGAGAAATGGAAAAGGGTGTAAATACAGGGAGGAATAAAGAACCAGGAACAACAATGCAATCTACCATGGGTTCATAGGCAAGAAGATAGGTACAGTCTATATGTCCACTGGAGTACACTCTAGACAAAGTGAACAAACTCCAACTCTATAAACGCCAACAAAACGACACCTCAAAAACATTAAGAGTAACAAGAAAATGATATGCAAAATACTTCTATGTATTAGTTATGCATAAGTAAATATATATAGGAAAACTGCAGAAACAGGCATGGAATTTATAAATTCAGGATAGTCTTTACCTTTGGGTAGGATGGAAGAGGAATACATGATGAGGGAACTTGGACTGTATTCTACAATGTTTTATTTTTATCAAAAAATATGAAGCAAACCTACAAAATACTAACTTCTGTCAAAGATCATGCATGAAGAGCATTGTAACGTAAGTGGTTAAGGGAAAGACTGCCTGGATTATAGGCTTCTTCCACCACTTACTAGCTGTATGATCCTGGATATACTACTAACACTCTCTGAGAATGTTTTCATCTGCAAAATAGAAATAATAGCAACAACCTATTTTATAGCATTGTATGGATTAAATGAGTTAATACATGTAAAGCACTGAAAACTGTGCCTGGTACAAAGTAAACACAAGGAGTATTAGCATTAACATTCTCCTCCATACTTCTTTCCATCTTTTACGTATTTCATAATTAAAAGGAAATAAAAAGGATAAATGAAATGAGGAGGGGAGGTGGTAGATAAGGGTTGGAGTTTAGGAATTTAGGTTACACGGTTCAGACCTTACACTGAGGGGAAGTTCTTTCCTATTATTTTTTGTCTAATTCTAAGCTGAGAGTATCTTTCAAAATTTATAGATTGGGCATTTTTTATTCTCCATTGGACATTGTAGCTCAATCATAAGATTCCTTCAAGAACCTAGGGTTAGCAGGGAAGGATACAAAGGTGAGTAAGATATACTTCTGGAAAACTCTAGATCTAGCAAGACTACTCAGACACACATCAATTATTCAGCAAGTGTTCTTTGGAATGAACTTCCCAAGTCTGATAGAAATAGGTGTTGGCACTATGTCCTTGGAAACAGCATCAACCCACAAGTCTCAAAGATTCTTCACTTCTGTGACTTCAACCTGCAGTGAATCCTTATGAGGAAAACAACATAATCACAGAATAATAAGAGAATATATTTTAAATGGCAGTTAGTTA